GAATTTGCCTACTTTAGCTGATCTTAAAGAATTTCTCAAACTCTCTACGCTTCAAAGGGTGCGATTAATAAAACTAAATAAATAAATAAAATAAATTACACATAAAGTTACTACTGTTATTTCTAACGCAAATGAAAAACACACAAAAATCGTGTAGATTATGTAACTCGAGCAATCATGAGCTTTATAATTGTTCTAAATTTCAGAAAGGGAAGTGTTAAAAAAAAAAAAAAAAAAAAAAAAAAAGGATAGACCTTTGTGAAAAAACGGAATTTAATTTTTCGTTGTTTTAGGTCGTACAGTGTGAGAAATTGTCCTTCCACTTACTTGTGCAAATAGTAGCTTTGTCTTATGTTATCAAAACGAAAGTAGCTCCATTGGTGCCACAGTAGGAAGAGAAAAGAGTTCACACCAGAATGAGTCGGATGATCAAAACACAAGTGTATTAAATGTACATACAACTGCATTTCAAGTTAAAAATCAGAACGAAACTTTTACAGCAGCTACGGGTACTAACAGTGGGAAAAATTTAACTTTATCTACCGATTTTATATATATTGTTACTAATGAAGGAAATTTAATTGGACATTATGTGACATTATTATATAGTGGAAGTGTTTCTGAGTTTTGTACCGCAGAATTAGAGGACGTACTTAATTTAGAAAGTGAAAAAACAAACATCTTCCGCTCTCTCGTTCTATACCACCAAACACCCAGTTTACCACCGGGAGCCATTTTACGGTGTAAATCACAAGCAACGTACTTCCTAACCGACATCCAACGCAGAAATAAGTCCTGAGAAATGTTCTCAATCAAAATCAGCGCGATTACGCGTTTTAACCAATAACGTCATAATAGCGTCCAATCAATCACGTCATGATAGAAGTTCCTAAACATACAACTTAAAATATTCAGGTTACCATAAATGAAACAACAACTTGGCGATGATCCAAGCTATACCCCAAAATATAGACTACCCACTAAACCTAATCCTATTGCAAGTTTCATTTTCAGGTTTATCCATAATTGTAAAAATCCCGAAGTATGGAGGTATGGAGTACTTTCTTTACGAGAGATAAAAAAACTGAGGTGTGGATTTTGTGACAGGCTTCAAGAAAGTGAGTTCGGAGAAGAAATAAAACAAATAATAGGGGTAAGTGTGTTCGTTCAAAAGTAAGCCAGAGTCCCTGGATAACGTGGGACTAATTAGAGTGGGTGAACGATTGTCCCATTCGGATCTACCCCCTAATAGTAAACATTTTAAATTATCGACGGAGTCAGTTCAGTTCAACAAGTACTAAAAGAATTTTCGCCACATTAGTTAGAGAGGTTGTGAAAATGAGTTAAATGACACACTGAATGTGAATTCATTATTGTTTCTTCAAATAATGAAACTTTAAAAAAAAAAAAAAAAAAAAAAAAGTAAATAAATAATAATAATAATAATAATAATAATAAACAGACCAAAGCCTCAATCATGTATTACAGAATTATAATGAAAAAGCGATAAAATCCCAACGTAATGTAAAAAAAAAAAAAAGATTTTAAAAAATCGAAATGTACTTGTAATGTGTTTAAAATAAAACTAAGCAGATGAAAGATTTTATAGTATTTTTATTTTGAAAGAAAGGGAAAACACTCTAAGCAAAAGGTTCGTATTCTCGCTACACGTGGAAAAGGCCCCGAGGACTACCGTGCGGTACTCCGTTCACCATGGTTCAGTGTCCACGTTGAACTAATAGATTTGTTCATAGGTTACACCATTCAGTCATCAGCGACCTTCGAGTTTTAAAATTCCTGCACTTCAATTGCGTTCGCTAATTGCAACTAGTGTAATACCGTAAGTACTGCTTCGATAATTTTTTTTACTGGACTTTATATATATATATATTAGGCATTCAGTCTGTAATCAACATATTTAGTATCACGACAAGTGTATATTTCTTGTACCGCTCTAAAATGACCAAAATATGAAACATCTTCCTATAGCGAAAGGATTTCCAGCATTTTTTGTATTCTGATTATTCTGATGACTAATTTTTGAAGGATGAAATTTCTATCAATGTTATTTAACTTTTCATTTTAAGTTACTGTGTTCTAACAACCATAATATGTTTATATCGCTTTTTATTTCTTAATTCTTTATTCATTATTTAGCTGCGCGAATCGATCAGCTTGGCGATTTTCTAAATTTTCAAATCTTCATTTTTAAAATATCGAAAATCGCCAAATAGCAGTGTTGGGCCAAATTTCTTTATTTTAACAAATTTTAACTTCGTATCTATAAAATATTAGCAGCTAATCTTTGATTATTATGTATTTCTTGATAACTAACTTCATATATAATTATTTGAGAAAAATTAAAAGTTTGAAAAACTTTCCTTGTAAGGAAGCATTATCTAATAAACCTTCACCACCAGAAGATTGAGTATCAATTTCTCCCTTCTTTTTAGAAGCTGCTCGCATATTGCCAAAGGACCAAAGGTCTGTTACATTAGATTGAGTCACATTAGACACACATGAGAACCAACACATTAGATTGTTGTTGTTGTCATGTCCATATTACATGGAATGATGGTTGCCAGAGCCTACTCCGAAAGAGAGGATGGACTTCAATTTTCCACCCCCAATTTTGAGGCAGGGCGCTCCGGGAAGGGGATCCGGGGTCTCACACCCCTCTCCACTCTCACCGGTCCACGCGAGAGGACTTTCGGTTCGCCGCATTACACATTAGATTTGTTTACTTAATTAAAGCAAAGCATATGAGGACCATTTGCGTATTCTTTCTTCCCAATGCAATTAGGCATAATGCTAGTCTTGATCCCGAATGCACCTAAGGATTCTTTATCTGTAGGTATTCTATTTTATTTCCCTACCACTAGTCCTTCGAAAGGACTTGCAAAAGGCTAAAATGAAAGAGAGAAAGATTGACTGTGTGTATCCCCCGAAAAATTCACCTTTCCTATCTATCTGCTCATTATCAAAAGTCAAGATTAGTATTTTGATCAGACTGATGTAAAAGCTTTGAGATACGATAATACACTTGCTTATTTTAATACAGTATTACCTTCGAAGAAAACCAAAATTTCCTATAAAAATATCCTGACGATGTGCTGTCTTTTAAAACTAAGGTCATACATTTGTTCCACAATGGCATAAACAAACTTTGAACGATATCTTCTCTATCTCTCCTTTTCCCATAAAAGTGAGAGTTCTAGTCTAATTTCTTTCATAAACGGAAAATGTCACTAAGATTGGTATTTCATGAACGTGAGGTGATATACAGTGAAGTTCCATGAAGCGGGAAACTGAATTAAGATAAAATAACCCGCCGAGCAAGTATTAGTTTAGAAGTCAAACAAAAAAAATCAGTGTTATATTTGCAAATTTTCACAGGACTAGTTTCAATGGTTTTACCGAACCATCATCCTCGGCTGCCAAAGCGTAAATGAACGAAATAAGATATAGTGATTAGATAAGATAATAACAGCTGGATAGAAGTTGAGCTACTGGAGACATCTGTTGAGGAAACAAGAACTAAAACATAATTTCCTTGAAGGCTGAAGGCAAAGATGGCAATCCATTGGTGAATTAGATTTTTTAGAAGGGTTTCACATTCAAAAGAACTTTCTTTTCTAGTTAACGACCTTAATTCCAATCCATCTTTGCCTTCAGCCTTTAAGGAAATTAGATTTTAGTTATCGTTTCATCAACAGATGGCGCCAGTAGCTTAACTTCTGTCTAGCCATTCTTATCTTTCCTAATCTCGTTCATTTGCGCTTTGGCAGCTGATGATGATGTTTCGGTAAAAGCATCGAAACTAGTCTTGTGAAAATTTACAAATATAACGCTGATTTTTGTTGTTTGACTTCTAAATTAATACCACGTCTGAAATTTATTCAAGATTTGGTGAGAAAAATTTTGAAGAATGTATATATGACTTATTCCATTATTACTTGTTTCCCTTGTTTGATATTTTTATTGCACTTTTATTTCTCGTGATATATTATTTTTTTTCAATGACAGATTGTGAACAATTACAAATGTAACCCAGTTCATTAATCTATACAAGGCCGGATGTGGTGGTCTCTTTATTATGGAGGCACCCACTATCGCCTTTCCTATGAAAGGACGGACAGTTACAACCATGCCTTCTCCGGGATTCGAACCCAGGCCCTTCGGCATCGCAGTCAGCTTCCCTGACCACGATACCGACTGGGCGGCTCTTGATATATTATTTGTGTTACAATATTATCTGTCATATTGCTTACTTTTATTATAAATATAGGGTTTTTAACATGATACTATTTGGTTACAATGAATAATTAAAATGTCATCTCCCTTCACTGCCTCTTCCCTTCTCCTCCACAATGCAAATTAGGCATAATTTCTTTCTTTTTATTTCCTGAACTTACTTCAATTAAAAATATCTGATTATATAAATGACTTTACACATTAACACGCATTTTCATCGATATTATTTTGGCCGTATGTCTATTTTACATTTTTATTGTCATAATTTAATTGTTATCAAATGTGATATTAAAATAAAACTTTCCTTGAAAATTACATAAACAATCCTCTATTACAGAGTTCTGCAAAGCGAACGAAATTAAACAGGTTTCAACAATACATTTCCAACAACTGTAAATATTTCCATATAATAGCATTAATAAAAAATTTATCAGGTATATTTTAATGATAATTCTTAATGGTGTTACTCATAGCTTTGATAAGAACTTCATCAAATGCTAATGTTGTAACTTAATATTTAATATAAAATAAAAAAATGGTCATAAGTTGCTGAAGTGGAAGTTTAGACTTTATACGTCTGCCCTACTGTTTTAGATTGAGCTTCATAGCTTTCCTCGATCAGAAAGCATTGATTATTCTCGTGCAAGATTAAATACAACTAATTTTTAATTAAAAATGCATGAGAAGAAATATGACGTTCAGAAAAATTTCCAAAAATGTAAGCATAAATGCCTGTTTCTTTTCAGATCACCGGCTGGAAATAAGGAGTGCTTACCAGTCTACAACTCTCCCTGATCTTAGTAACTCCTTGTCTATTGATGGAAATTCATCAACTTGCATAAGCACAGAAATGCAGTCAGAAGGATTTTGGATGGGCATGCTGAACGCTTCTTTTAATATAAATGCAATAAAAGTGGTTTTTCCAAGTACGTAACAGAAGATTAATTGTTAATTAGATTGTAACGCACTGAAAATATTCATCAACCGTTTTCTCTTATCAGGGAATATACAAGTGAAAGTTCAAGTTCTAGTAAAGGAGGACAAACGTTCAGAAATACCATGTGGAAACTATAGTGGGAGTACAGGTAAATAGAAACTTGTGCATATTTTTAAAATGATGCTTGTTTTAATTTATTTTATTACTTTTCCCGGTAGAATTAAGTTCTTCTGTTTGAGATTAAAGTTAGGACGATCTTTAGAAATGTTATACCGAATAGTTTTAGCAAAAACACCTCTGAACTCTTGTTTCGTAAATAAAAACTAGCACATATAAGGTATTCTCAAAATATATAGTTTATGAAATAAACGTGTATTATCGTTTTCAAACCCCTCTTAACAAGCACTCAAGCTGCCATTTTGTGTACCATTCACAGCAAAATTGTTAACTAGAATATATTTATTTATCCAATATCTTCTAAATCTATTATGTTAACCAAAACAGATACAGCTCACAGCGTATATTCTTTTCTATTGTGTGAATTCAGATGTTAAAGCATTACGATAAAACTTGATAGTACTAATAAAGGTAAAATTTTGAACGTTCCCAAATGTCGCTATAAACAGATTAAAAAGGGTTAGTATTGTTGTTGTTGTTGCTGCTAATGTTCACTTGTCTGACCTAAAATCAGCCCAAGCCCACGATATTCCTTGTGGCAAGAAGCGCAAGTTTACGCCTGTCGTTGGCAACAAGATTTAGTTCCATTCTGGACCTAATTATGATGGAGAGCACCCCAAGCGGGAACGGGTTGGACGGTCTTCCACGCCTCTTCCCCTACCACCAACCTCTCGAGAGGGCTTTCCGCATATTTAGAGTTCCCCCATGCCGCACGGACACTATACATTTGCAAACATCCATGCTTTCTCCGGGATTCGAACCCGAGCTCTTCAGCACGGCAGTCAGCTACGCTAACCACTATTCGTTAGTATTCTTTCTTACGTAAGCATTAGTCCATCCTTCTGAAAATTTAATTACTCTCCTTCAGTTTGTGGGTACTTATGTATTAACGTAACCACCTTAGCGCAATTTGGCGATTTTTTACAGATAAAAAGGTAAATGTACTTATTGGGTGCAAGTTGGTAGTCTTCGAGTCTGTTTTTAGAAAAATTACCAAACTATCGATATTTATTGTAAGTCGATTATTATTACAAACATTATTAACATATGAAAAGAAAACATAATTTAGCAATTTAAAATACAAGATTTTTTAAATAAGGATTACATGATACATTAAAAAATAAAACACTTCAACACTTATATTCTTCAAATCTTTCTGTGATTTTTTTGCGCTGTTCTTCTCCTGAAATACACAGCAATCTGTTTTCATTAAAAAAAAAAATAAAAAAATAAAAAAAAAAAAAACAGATAATTGAGGAGACTCATCTTCGTACAATCCTCGGCAACAGCAGCTATTGATTAAATACTTTTCTCGTTGTTATCTTTAGAAAATTTCAGCAAAATTCTGTATTCTTGCAGCTGGAAAATTCCACAAGTTCATATTTTAAAACTTACTCTAAGGCACAAAAAAAAAAAAAAAAAAAAAAAAAAAAAAAAAAATCATGATTTGTTTATAAAAATGTTGCAACTTGGAATAAAGTTAAAAAAAAAAATGCTGCGTTGCTAGACCGAAGGACTGTTAAGAAGATGGTCGCCGGAAGAGTGGTTATAGACATGGTTGGCCAGAGTTTGGCTCATTCTCGTTCTCGATGGTTTTTTAGTCGCAGCAAGGTTACGTAGATTTCCAGCTTACTTTAACTGGTTAGTAAGCAGATCATCGTCAAACTTCGAAAACTGATTCCTTTCATATGGTTGACTTAGACTGGAAGAACATGCAAATGTGAAATTTAAAATTGGGCAAAAAAGCCTTCTTAGATTAGCGCAGACTTTTTTTTTTTTTTTTTTTTCAAAAATAATTCTTAAGAAATTAAAAAAGTTCTTTAAAATATTTTGTTTTTCAAGAGAAGCGACTTTCGTCTCTTTTCAAATAGCCTTCGAAATCGGTAGAGTTATTCAAAATGTGCGCTAAATTAAGTTGCTTTTTCGCCTAATTTTAAATGATTGACTAAAATTAAAATCTAGCTATTTCGTGATATTTCTCAATCATTTGGAAATTTTTATAATCTACTCTGACTTTATCTGGAGACTTTATTTTTTATTTGGTGATTTTATTTCAGTTATTCTATAGTATTTTGATGACAGTAATCGAATTTATCTCACAGTAAGCGATGCATTTTTCATGTTTTCGCATAAAAATGGAGCTAATTTCGGAAATTCGATAATAATATACGAATAATAAAATTAACTGCTGTCACATTAAGAGGAATCTATTATAACTTAAATCAACAGTTCTTGAATTTTCCTCCTTCATACTGCGATTGGGCTCACCAGCAGCCGACAGGTAAAGTCGCTGAACACTGGTATTTCGGTTCGAGGTTCGAATCCCGCGAACTGGCTGGTTCGTTTGCATGGGTGTTTTCGTGATTTTCGTCATGTCTAACATGTGTAAGAGTCAGTTTCACTTAGAAATTCCTCCACAAAGACATCCGTCCCTTTTGGCATATATCCCTCGAGGCTTTGACGTAATCACATAAACTAAACCATAATACAATTGTTTTGTAAGTTTATCAAAGTATGCCATTATTAGTTATTTGTCTACCATGAATTATTTATTACATTAAAATTATATTATACATTTTCCCAGCTACTGCGAGATCAAACATTACGCATACAAAAAACGATTGTTCACTCACAGGAAAAAGTTCAACAGCCCAGCTATATGTAATAATTCGAAGTGCATCATCAATAACTCTGTTTTACTTATATTTTTTTCCTGAACTTTATAGGAACTGATTCTGGTCTACTATTTATTTGCCCTCCTGGTGCAATCGGAACTAGTGTAATCATTCAAGATTTATCCAAAGTACTCCACCGCTTCGTAATCTGTGAAGTAACACTGTATACTCTTCAAGGTAAGTATAGTGTGTCAACTAAATATATTTTAACAACATTGGAACTATTTATCAATTTATATTATTTGCAATGTCGTCCCTTTGCACCAATAAGGAGAGAAAAACAAAAGTAGAAAGTATAAAAGCAATATTTATGTCCTTGCAAAACCCAGCTGCTTGAAAATGTGTTTTCTTTCTCCCTTAGCACACACAAGAATCTTCGCATGTTACGAAGATGACGAAAAGAGTTAGCCACTTTTAAATATGTCTATGAATTTCTCCTTTTTGAAACTAAATGGTAGCCAAACAGCGTAACAGGAAAAGTTTTAATTGTATTTTTTCGTGCATAACTCATTTCTCGTACTTTTTATATACTTCTTTGGTTCTTTATTTTAGCTTTAGAGTAATTATTTTTTGTTATTAAAGATAAAACTGGAAGTACTCCTTCAGATACGTCTGCGATTGAGGAAGAAAATGCGTTTCCATGCAAAATCCAGGTGTCATCGGAGAGTGCATCAAAACGAAATTATACAACGAGATTCATTTAAATTGAGGTTTTATGTGTACTGGCAATAAAAAATGCCACCAATGTGATGTCTATTGTATGTAATAAAAGTCTAGTTAACAGTTCTTTAGCTCCAGCTAAACTTCGTAGCCATTTCAAAACGAAGACCCCTAATTAAAAAGAAAGCATTTCTTTAAGAGGCAACTTAACTCCCTCAAAAATTCTGCTTTAAATTACAAGAATTTTTAAAACTAAAAAAGAAATGTAAACAGTTGCATCCTAAGATCCTATCCTGTGAGGTACCTCATTATATGGAATGAGAAAGCTCATATGACCGACGAGAGAACTCTCCTACTATGGAGGAAAAGTCTGCATAAAAGTTTGGTTTTCCAAATTGTTATACACTAAAGTTTCTGCCAGCTCATGATGGATACGATTTCGAATTCGATATACTGTATTGGAAAAAAAGGCTCAAGTAACAAAATGAGGAGGTCATTTTGAAATTACACTGCAAATCATTAAAATTGCTGTACTAGGAGGGATAGCAGATACCAAACACTTGTTTATTATACATATACAATATAATGGAACGATGATATACAATATAATGGAACGATGATACATTTGCAAATGATTTGGTGTATACAGCATGCGGAATTCAGTACATAGAGCTGCCAGCTCTGGCAGCAGCAACGGCTGTAATCCAGTTGGCATCTTGTGGAATTAAACTCGAATGGCAGGTACGGGTACTTCATAGCACACGGCTTCAACTTTATGCCAGAGTTTATCAATATTAGTGGTTGGAAAAAAGTGGCGTGCCAGTCTCTCGGCAACCCATGAATTTTTTTTTCGATAGGGATAAATCTGGAGAATGTGCTGCCTAAGGCAACAGTCAAACATCCTCAATCCTTAGCCGTCTATACTGATGACTCCAAAGGAGAGCTCGTGATTGGCAGTGCTTGGTGTGCAATGGGCGGTGACCGTATAATCCATTCCTGGGCTAAGAAACTTCATCCCAGTAACTCAGTGGTTCAGGCAGAACTTACAGCCCTAAAAGCAGCTCTGGACTTTACTGTTAGCAATGGAAGGTATAAAGTAATGTACACAGACTCAGTGTCAAGCATGCAGGCCATCCAGGGTGGCCGCAGTAGGCATTCCATAGTCAGAGACATACAAAAACTATTAATTTCGATTCCTTTAAGTTTGAAGGACAAGCTTCAATGGGTTCCAGCTCATAAGGAGATTAAGGAAAATGAAGCAGCAGATGTCATTGTGAAAAGCGCTGCTAACGAACTCCATGTGAATAGCATTAGTGTGCCCCCTTCCACACACATATCTGAAAAACACTCTAAAATGTGAATTAATGAAACAATGGCAAAACTACTGGGAGTCGAGTACCACAGGCAGAAGACTGTATAGTTTTCATCCAAAAGTAAACCAGAATTTAAATAGCTGCTCTTCGCACTTCATACAATATCTGACAGGGCATGTTCCATATATGTCCTATCTTAACAGATTTGGCCTAAGAGACAGTGACCAATGTATTTGTGGCAGTACTGGTGACCCAGATCACCATCTGTATGATTGCCCGCATACAGCGAATTCACATTTAAAAAGGCCAACTGAAATCAATATGCCGGCATGGTTCAAGAACATAATTAAAATAAATATGCGCTGAGACTGCACTAGACAGCCTGGAGTGACTTCTTTCCTTAGACAACATGCCGTCAGCAGACCGCTCTGTACATATATTAATTTACATAATGTCTTGCATTGTTTTGTTTTAAATTATATTTAATATTATGATTAATCCAGCACTCATTTAAGGTATTTCATGGTTTGTAATGTATTTGTTCAGATTTCATCTTTACATCTGTACCTGTGTCCACAACCATATCCTTGATATATCTGTATGCCTAACATGTACCATAATAGTGAAAAGTGTTCCCCTTAGTCTCAACAGTCCCTACCATGCACCTTCTTTCCATGTTCTGGCCCTTCTTTCAATGTTCCTCATTTAGCGTGGCCAATTCCAGGAGGACACAGTAAAGAAGCTCTTTTTTAATTCCATCGACGGGATCCAACAGCCTGAAGAGCACCTAACCCAGTGGGCCAGCTGTTCTGTCGGTGGCGAAATGAAAGGAAGTCAAACATCATTTGCATCAAGGATGGTCAGTACAGTACGGGGAACATGGGCTGTGTATTATCTTGTTAAAAGATGACATCATGCTAGCCTCAAAGACAGGACACTACCTTGAACAGCTATCATCATTCGTTCTGGTTCGTGCCACCAAGCACAGATGCGTCCCTCATGAGCGCAGAATTGGCATTCGTCTGAAAGTATGACATGGTGCCAATTCTGTGTCTAGTGTCGTCGTTCATCGCATCACTGTAAACACGCCTGTCTCTGCCGTAGCGTCAAAGAAAGCTGCAACAATGGTCCCCATGCTGACAGCCAGGGTGCTGCAAACGTAATCACAATACCACTGCAGACACATATCGTCCTGCAGATAAATTAATTTCCTGATTCGGGTTACGTGACATTTCCGAAACATCCCACTAGATGACAGAAAAATATGTCTGTCTTTTTTGGGCGTTAGCAGCTTAGAGGCGTTTGAGATCCTGCATGGCGTTCAGTATGGCAGCCTTGGAACTAATGATTCGATATTCATCTGACATTCATGTGATCTCGACAAACACAAGCAGCAGTGTCACTAGAAGATAAACCACAGTTTGGTTGGACGCCGTCGAAATCCGACATCTGCTGGTAGTAGTCTTTCCTTTTTACACGAAGCTCGACACGACCTTTATACAAACAATCAATGTTCAAATGCGATTTCCAAATCAAAAATCCGATACTTTGATACTTTGTTGTTATGCTTGTTTCAACGCATAATTTCACCCTCAATTACTCCCAATTTAAAGAGGTCCCAGCAGGGAAGGTATGCGTGCATAATCCTAAACAAAGTTTCAAAGCTGGAGAAAGGCAGTAAGAAAAATAAATAAATGAGGCCCAAGCCTCATGAATGAATTGAAGTCTTGCCAGCGAGGAGCAGAATTTTTCTCAGACGCAACCGAAGTTCTCCAAACAATTAGGATCAAAGCCGTGAAGATGCGGTGAACAAGTGCTGCATGCATCATAGTCTTCGAAAGCGGCGAATAGGTGATGTATACATCATATTCTGGACTTGAGAGAGAGCAGAAAAAGTTCTCCGATCAATAAGGAATGTGAGCAGTTGTCAGATGATAACTATGTAGAATTACGGAGGCAGAAGAGAGCTGAAGAACTTCGTCCATGAGCAAAAATCAGAGTAAATTAATTTGAATAAAGTGGAAAATTTTATGGTTTTACAGGTCACGTTAAGTGAGAAAAATTTATTAAGGGAGAGAGGCATCTCTGAGAAGGTGGGTGGTGTAAGGCCTGAGTTGCTGTCTGTATCAATAAGTTCGTATTTGAAATTCTCAACGTAGTGTGCGATGTCGTTATCTGTGACTTTGTTAACGAAATTTTTATTCAGTCTTTGTATGCAGTTTACTATGGGATCAATTTTTAGGTCTCTATGAATAATTTTGTTCCTGACGAATCAAGGGTCTCCAATGATTTTTCTCAGAATGGTGTGCTTAAAAGTCTGCAATTTATTGAAACTATTTTTTTTTCGGCACTCCAGGCAGGCGAAACATAGGGGAGAATAGAGCGGATGATTGCAGCGTGAATGTATTCTTTGCTTCTGAGGTTCAATACAGAGGAGCTGTCAAGGAGGTGCTTGATCTTGGAAACCATCCCAAAGGTTTGCCGAGCACTGGTGATGTTAGAATTCCAGGTGAGAGTTCCGCTGAAGCGGATTCCCAGTTAGTTTGATGTGATGATTTGAGGAATTTTTTTCGTTACAGAGAGTAAGATCTTGTTTGGTGAGCCTTCGGATGAATAAGATTTTTTTCCAGGCATTGATGCTAGTCTTTCAGTTTCAGCAAATATCTTCTATCTCATATCTGTTCTGGAGCCTACAGACAGCTTGGTCGGAGTTTAGCAATTTCGAGAAGATGGCTTTATCATCCTCATAACCAGCAGTGAGGTAGATTGCATCATCTTCGAACGTGGGAGAGTCCGTAACATGGACTAGATAGGACTACATAGACGATCGGGACGAGAATGGACCGCTGCAGGACTCTGGTTTGAATTTCAGTGTTATCCGTGTTGAAACTGCTTTTACTGATACTGAAGGTACGTTGATTAGAAAAAGAGTTTATCAATAATAGTGTTTCTCAACTGATGTCCATGTTAATAAGTTTATATGTAAAGACCTTATGATAGACGCGGTCAAATGCTTTCGCCACGTCTAGCATAAGTAAAGCTACGACATGATGGTTATTGATGGCACCGCTGAGAGATCCAAAGATACGAACCAACTGCATTATAGTAGACTGTTCTTTTCTAAATTTGAACTACTGACTGGGCATTGCATTGAGAGTTAGGTATAGTATATTTAAAATGATTTTTTTCAAACATATTTTCCAA